TTTTGAGAGGGGAAGCCAGGACTACAGCCCATTTCATTATATTGTACTGAGCTATTGTCTCATTTTTATATTTTACAGTGTCCTCTAACGCTGGAGTTTCATGAATGGAAGGCTGCAGGAATAGCATTCATTTTTGAAACTGGCTACTAAGGGACGGTGATAATGAGGGCTGATAGGAACAGCTGGAGAAAATGGCTAAGATGTAGCAATTTAATAGATTTTATATAACAAATAGCATGGCACTTTAGAGCTCCAGCTCTTGGCAATTAGTGAAAGTGCGAGGTGATTGTAGCCCTGTTACGGCAGAGGTCTTCCTCTCTCAGTAGTCCCAAGTTACCATTCAGTGCTTTCACACACCTGCAGTACTGTGCCAATTACCATCCTTTGCTAGGAAATCCCTTTCATTTGCATTGAATTAGGTCATTGCCCTGCTGCTTTTCCCACAAGCACAAGAAAACACATAGATGCTTAGAAAAAGAGAGGAAGGACACTTCCCATTTCCCAAAGCAGCAGAGGCAGGTCAGTAACACATCTGAAAAATGACAGTAATTGTAAAACAATTCTGCCCTTCTACTTCTGTTTTCATATTCCCACTGATCAGAGCTGCTTCTCAAAAGAAAAATCTGCTCAATATAACCAGAGAATGGAAGACATCAAAATATATACAGCTACATATTAACAAAGACAAACTGAGCAAATTAAGCCATAATTTTAAAGCACAGCATAGCCTCACAAAGGTGGCTTCCTCAAAAGAGTGGTTATGGTGGAGGCTGTTTGCATCCTCTGCCATGAGCTTGCAGAAGACATGTCTGAAGCCCTGGCTATTGGGGTGGTGTCAGAAACAGGAGCATAGGGCTCCCAAATAACACTTAGCTTCTAATCTTGCCAAAGTGCTTTACAAAAGTGAGGCTAATCTCATGGCAGCATGAGGAGGCAGGTGTTATCTTCTGCCCAAAGTCAAATGACTTGGGCAGCTGCACACGTGGAGTCACCAGAGTCAGGCAGAGAATACAGAAAGGTTTTTTGAATCTTTCTCTATTGAAACCATCCCCAACTGCAGAACTCATTTCTTTCCTCAAAAACTGAAAGGCAGAAATCATCATGAATGGCAGCCAACGCCTTAAGTGCAGTCCCTTCAATCTGTCACTGAGGAACACCTAGCATTTAAGGATTATTTTACTTTTAGTCAGGGCTTGTTGCCTACTATGGCTTCAACCAGGCTTTCCATCCGAGTCTGTGAAACTGGATTCATATTACTATGAAACTGGCAGTGGCACAAAGTATTTTTTACAAATCAGAAAAAAGCCTTTTCCAGATATTTTTGCCAAGCAGGGAGGAAACACCACCAGCAGCAAAATGTCTGCTTATGTAATCAGCCTTAGTTAATTGGATCTGGATGTTCATATAATTGGTTTAAAATATTTAATTAATGCTTATAAGAACTTCCTACAGCTTCTTAGTGCTCTGTGTTGCACTAAAGTTGCCCTTGGTAGATCAGACTCTAAGAGCACTGCACCATAACTGTTCAGGAGAGGGTAAAACTGACAAATGTGAAAAAACCCTCTGTATCACAGTTTCTTTGCTTTTACTTTAGCTCCTGTTTTACAGCCACCTCACTCAAACTGTTAAACAGCAGCTGTTCTCTTACAGGCACCACAGCAGAAAAGACACTTGAAAACATATTACAAGCAGATGAGATGGCCTCAGGGGCTTCCTCCATGCACAAGAAGATGCCATGGAGGAAGATGTTATGCAGGGAAAGGAGATAATAATCCTCATATATATCACATATAAAAGGACTGTAAGAAGTGTAACCCGTTGACATGTTGACATCAAATCTTAATCCTCCTGACTGGTTGGTAAAATACAAACATTTATTGATTTTCAATTCATTTTAGAGTTGGTGAGGCCTTCTTAACACAAGCTGTTGCGCTTGCTTGAATTAATGCATTTCCCAGCCCAGTACCAGTAGTTGAAGCAGAAAATATCTCTTGGAAAAGTCTTTCATTTGTATTTTGAAGTTACCTGTGAAGGAAAAGCAACCTCTGGCAACTTGTTCAGGTGTTATTTTCCTTCCCAGATTAAAAGATCTGTCAGAATGACACTGGGAAGCTTGTGTTCTTTTTTAAACTTATAACATTGTGTCCAGCTTCTTTCTTATTACTTTAATGGCATTTTAAAAAATGTTGCATTTCTCTCTGCATATTCTCAGCCTGTGAAGACCTGTGCAAACTACACAACTGTCATAAATGACAGGAGCACAGCTGAAGTCAGCAGCGATAATGTCAGATTTTGCATACAGAGTTCCATTTTTAAATTTTTGTTTTGTTGAGAGGGGAAGGGGTTTCCTGTGAGTATAATGAAGTGGTGGTTGGCTGCTTGCTGCTAATAATTTCTTATGCAAATTTTACCTAGGATTGTACTTACCATTCTCTTATAGCTCTGAATGGAGAAAATAAAATCAGCCAAACAGGGAAAATAGTTCATTATTTTTAAAAAATGATACACATATAAATAAATAAATAAATTTATATGTGACATATATATATTATATATATATATATATATATATATATATATATATATATATATATATATATATATATATGTCCTCTTTATGTTAGAAAGCACAAAATCACTTTTTCCAGAGAAACAGACATAAGAAAATAATGTACCAACTGGAACACAGCTCTTACCCATTTAAGCCAGAATCTGTAGGAACATGAGGGAACCTCCCTGTAGCTATCTGTGAGAGCTGGGCCAGGGTGGGGTTTCTGAGCAGCGGCTACCAAGAACCTCAACTCTAATCCTGCTCCCTAACCACAGGACAGCAAAGTTTTTATCTTATAGTACAGCAAGGAAATGTTCATCCCATGATCTCACTATGTGACTCAAGAAACACTGGAAAACAATACTCTAAAATAATGTTTAATTTCATCATTGAATCTTTCTGATAAATGCAATGAAGAGTCAGTCATTCATTATTTACTCCAAAAGTGGATTAAAATGTGCCCACCACTGAAAAAACCCCAAAGTTTTTAAGCTAGCATCAGTAATAAGCAATCCAGTAATTTCTTTCAGGTCTGAAAATATATGTGCTGCAGACAAAAAAACCTTATTATAATTGTTAATTAGCTTAGTATAGTTAACTGATGTGTTCTGCAGCAGCTTTAGAATTTAAATTCTGTAATTGAAAGTCATAAATTAAATAAAATTAAGAAACATATTTTAATTCTTAATCCCATTATACATGTACTGTTTTTTAAGCATGAGGGAAGCTGAAATTCACAGTAGATGTTTAATGAATAATCAGATCTGGAAGATACAATTTGTCATAGCCACAGAATTAGCTTGGTAAAAACCAAGCCTGACAAGTTAATTAAATAAGTCTGAATATACTGGATAGTTTGAGTATTTGCCAGCATCTGTGTTGGGTTTGTTTTTGTTTTGTTTTGTTTTGTTTTGCTTTACACCTTATTTACATATAGAAAAAATAAGAAACAAATAAGAAAGTCTACAGCTTATAGACCTACAAATCTTGACCAAAAACCCCTCTTAAACATTAAATACCTACTGGATTAAATTCTTCATGCTTTTTTACACAAAACATCATTCTCAGAAAACTCAGCCAATATTTAAAAGAGTATTTTCATAAACGGCTTGACCTTACAACCCTTTAACCTGATGAGTCATTCCGATCATGCTAAAGCTTACTCATGAGGAAGAACGTAATTTTTGGATCCTTAGCATCTGACCTCACAAAGTATGATGCAAACTACCACCACGAGTGAAAAAACTAGGTGCAGTATCAGGATGCTGGAATCTCTGTCCAGAAGAGATGGAGCTTTTGTGCTCCCTCCTGGGTAGCTCTGGCTCTCTACTGACTACCACCTCCATCCACGTGAAAAACATCTCGAGTGGATCAAATGCTTGCAAGATCCAACCATAAGTCTTCTGACTCCTAAAGGGCCTGGTCTGGCAGCAGGCTGAGGCTGTTCCAAACCGGCTGTGTATCTGCAATCCTTCATTAATGGGTTTTTTTTTTAGAGGGTTGGCATTGCCAGGAACTGCCTTGCCAAACATGAAATCCTTGCCTTCCCAAAGATGGTGAAATGTGTCTTTCCTACCCTCCCTCCACACAAGTAGAGAGATACACAAGGGCACACTCACACACACCATCTCATACAGTCAGACCCATGGTGTATGGGTGTGTATGTGTATGTATATACACATTAAAGGTGGGTTGGCTTGATTTCTCTTTTTTTAGGCTTCAGGAAACCTACCATTTCAAATTCTTCCATGATGGCTGCTGACATCAACCTCTGATAGGAGGGGAAGGACAAGAAGAAAGAATCTCATAAAATCACATTACTTAGCTGGAATTCACATGACTTAGCTGGGATTAAGGGTAAAACCTTGTCACTCATAAAGAGCATGTGAACATGGACAGCAACTGAACCAAGTCCACAGCACAAGTTAGCAATGCTTACATGGTTTCCCATTCTGAACTTTTTTATCTTGAGGTATATTTTTGCTGCTACAGAAGAGCAGGTACTAAGAAACTTGGTATTTCTATGACATTAAGAAACTGTTATCCTTTAAGTGTTATTGATCTTTCTGAGCAGTTAGAGGTTTTACCCTTGACTGGTGGTTTGTTGAAATACACCAAAAAAATTTATTTTGTAGGAGTTGTCTTAAATCAATCTCCTGATACCAGGGAGCCATGTCTAGTAGAACCATGTGGCTATAAAACCTCCCTGCAGCTGTTGCCTTTGGAGTGGACCCTGTCCAGATCCTCCCTCACAGCATGGAGGATATAAACAGAAGATATATTGCAGCTTGAGATGCTCTATTCTATAGCTACTTTTTCAGCTGAGGAGAGGTCCAATTCCTGTTCATGCTCTCTCCCTGACTGCAGATGAGGCTTTTCCTACTGTTTCAAAAGAGAGGGTACTGTGACTATTCACACCACAATCAGAATTTGACAGAAAGTCAAGTTCTTTGGGCTTATACAAGTACAATGGCTGGGGAGATGGTGGTACTTTCTCCACTCATACATATGCTCTCAAGGCATAGTTTATCCCCATTCTTCTGCCACATCACAGCTACAGACTGGATTAGTAAATAAAGCAAGCGTGGAGCGTGGAATGGGAGGTTAAACATCGCACTGGAAAGTCAGCAGTTTTAGTCATCGGGTAAAATCTCCCGTGACGGCATTCCTTTCTGAAACCTGATCCTGGAGAGAACAGTTTACAGAGCTGAAGAGACGCCAGGCAATGATCTACAGCCCTGGCCTTCCTGAAACGTATTCCTCCCAAGCAACTGTAAGCTGTCAAGTCATCCGTGTAGTCCTCACATATGTGTAATACATCCTTGAGCCATGACTTTTCTCCTGTGGTTCAAAGCTGTGTTTTCATGTGGCTCTGAGCACTTTAACTATGTGCAATACTGGGATACAGGTCCAAACAAAATAATTTTATATCAGCTTTCTTATTTTTAGAGCACTGCTTATGTTCTGCTTGGCTGAGTGAAGAGAAATGTTTGGGAATGGCCCCCAACAAACTTCCTGTAAGCTGGAAGTCTAAAGCTACAGCTAAATTCAGGCAATCACATGGTTATGAGTGCAATCAGGACCTTACATCTGCAGGATGTCTTCAGACTTTTCCAGGAAGTTAGGATCTGTCGGAAGAATTGCAAAATTTAAAAAAATTGAGTAGTCTTTCTATTCAGACCTGTTATTACATACAGTAATACTGTTGCTAGCTAAACATGGTTGGGCTCAATGATCTTAGAGGTCTTTCTTAACTGTAATGATTCTATGGTTCTCTATACCTTTAATGACTTGGGGGCTTTTCTTCCAGATTTTGAAACCAGGAATGAGGGAAGGAGAAAGAGAGAGAATTTCTCCTTGGAAACTTGGACATTTAGATTTTTTTTTCGTCATTAATCTGATTCCCAAAGAAATTGTAGCATACATCATAAATCAACTAAATTAAATAAGTCATTTCTGTAATGAATTCCAGTACTGAAATATTCAGTATGTGTAGAGTTTGAGATGAATGAATCATGTTTAGGACTTTTAGCCAACCTTTTGAATTCATGTTGCAATCACAAGTTGCCCAGATATTAAAGCAGTGCTTCAAGACAGAAGGCAACTCTTCTGCATGGGATCTGTCTGGCTGTGTATAGAAAAGGCATGACTGTCTCCTCATTTCCTGGATAAAGTTGGACAAAACTGTAATTACTTTTGTGATTTTATAGAACATTTAAAAAGGTTTCTAAGGGTAGTAATGCTTATAACAGCATCCTGAAATGCCAGCTGAAGGCACTGCTGCTGCCAAGGAGTATCTGCAAATCATGGCTCCTTTTACAATTTGGTTACTATATTAAATACCAAATCTGTTGTGGTTTCCCACAGTTGTTGATCCTAGGATCTATTTGTAAGGTACACTTTAATTGCTGATATAATTATGTCCACTGCTGTATGGGTTATGTTGTAGAAACCCATAAACTACATTATTGCCCTACAGGTCATTATCCATGTCATCATCCATGTATTATAGGCACAAAACCACGTGCTCTTTACTGATGAAGTCTTTATTGTCATTTCCGTACACTTATCTCCAGAAATTCTCCTGTAAATACCCTTCAAAATTTAAAAAGGTACTTTTATTTGATAACTTTTTTTTTTGTTTTCACATGGAACCACCAACTGTCTCATCTGAAAACAAGCCCAGCCCTTACAACCAGCATATTTCCTGCTCCACATTAATTCTTCTGTCTCCATCAGGCATTAGAAATGGCTTGTCAGAGGTGGGCTCATTCTGCATTGCAATGATTATTAAGGGAATTTTCAACACACAATGATAATTGATTTTTGTACCTGATAAGACAGTGAGAGGCCATCTTCCATTCAGGGTTGCCCTACGTCTTGGTAAATATGGTACTCTGAAAAAAAAAAAAAAATCAGCTAAAGCTGATTAAAGCTGCAGGCAGTTTTCCAATGAAGAGCATAATTTTGGTTCAATTGGCATGCTGGCCTCCCAGGACAAGTAACATATACTACCTGGTATTTAGTTTAGCATATTCCCTCTCTCCTCCTGAGATTACTGAAAACTTGACATGCCTACAGCATTGTAGTCTTTGAAAATTACTTACAGATGACAGGAAGGGATCTGGTGGTCTCTCATATTTGTCTTGAGTCTTTTCCAATTAAAGAATTCAGGCAGTGGGAGAACTTCAGCTGTATCTGTTTAATCAAAAGAAGCCCATGACCAAAAGCTGTTCAGCAATCAAGCACAAAAAGTAGTGGGACAATTGAGTTATGGAAAATTAACAAAGTAAGACCAGCAGAAAGCATAACTTCGTGAATACCTAGAAAAAGTCAATCTCCTGTTGTAGCTGGCATCCTTTGCTCCACTTCAAATAGTTGTATTTAAGTGATTTCTTCTAGAATTTTTAAAATATAGTAATTTTTTTAATATATATGATTTTGTTCACCATGCCTGGATTCATAGGAAAGGAACAGATTGCAGAACTGAAACATACATATATATCAATTCTTTAGCAACATACAGCATTTAATTGCTTATTGGTTTTACATAGTATTTGCAGGAGTGTCTAGTAGCTGGAAGAAGGAGTAAGAGGAACAGTTGACAACTGATCTCTTGATCAACTTAAAAAATAAATAGTTTTATAGATGGGTCATTTTTTTCTTGTATAACCTTCTGTATTCCTCTTTTGTCAGAGCCTTTACTGTTAACAAAAATTTACAGTATGCTGGGTAAGTAGAAGGATTACTGGGTGTGATGGGACCAGAAGTGTCCAAAGGCCCTTCTCCCTCCTCTGCAAAAGGAAAGCACTGAAGTCACATCACAGGGATAGGAGGTTCAGCATCATAGCCTCAGAGGTACAGCAGAGGGCTGGGCAGATCTCAGATATCTTTGGCAATGGAGATTCAGTAACACTCACTGTCAGAATTATGGAAAAAGAAATTTAAATGGCCTTCCATCAGCAAGGAGACAGGCACAGAGACAGGACATGCATCCAGTATTTCTATTTATGAGCCCAGAAGGCCCTGCTTACTAAGCAATTCCCCCATTAGGAAAAGAAAAAAAAGCAGAGCCTTCTGCAAAGGGCCTATTGGACCACACTGACTGTTTAGAGTCATCTGATACACTGGGAGAAGGATAAAGAATTTGAATATCTGAAACCATCACAGTGAGGACTGTAAAAGAGAACAACTAAGTTATCAGGGGATGGCATGTGCTATAGTTGTTAGGTCATATGGAAATAACATTCAGCAGCTGTTATTTTACCAGCATTAATAACTCTAGTTCTCCCATAGACATAAAGGAATAAAAAGTCTGTCTACTGCCTGCGAATCTTAGATCACAAGCCATAGGCATCAGACAAGACTTTTGCCCCATATGTCTGCATTTTATTTTAGAGGTAGATAAACATAAATTAAATGAACTAAAATATTCATTTGCCTGGTAACTATAATTTTCCTACACATCACTGTGCTCCACAAAGTCTGAATAAATGTGGACTTATGTTCAGTAAGTCACAGAAAAAATAAAATAATGCTGTTTACCTTTACACATCAGCCATAGTGCTATATGGGAGTAATTCTACAATAAAGAGCTGAGAAAGTTAAATGAAATTTTACTGCCACAATAAGAAATTATTCTAGGTCTTTCTTTCCTGTGAAGAAGTAAAAAAAGATAGCAAAACCACCATTAAGTACAATTCTAATGTTAATCTTCATAAGAACATCTATTTTACTTGAGACAAAGACTTAAACAAATATTTTATTGCCAATACAAAAGGTATTGGTAGCCCACCTGGATCAGTGCCTTAGATCACCCAATGAATCTTTGACCACACAGCAAACAAATTGGCAGATGTATGAGTCAATATTCTTTCATTCTAATAAAGAGGTCAAGGCAGTTTGGCAAACTGCCTTGGTTACTGTTTGCCTACTGAGAAAAGCGTATTAGCAGCAAGCCTGGTCACCTAAAAGCAATACTCTGCAGGATACTCACAGTTCAGGGGTCAGATTCAGGTTTAGAAGACTCTTGTAAGTCTCCCATCATTGCCCTGACTTGACTTAAGCCTTCCTCTGTAAAAACCTGAGCAGGTCTTTAACTCAGCCATTACCTTTCTAGCAACTCAGTTGCCTCCAGGTTGCAACACCCACTGCCTACTCTCTCCTAGACAAGTGAGGGGATAAGTAGTTTAAAAATATTAGGCCAGACAGCATTTCCTCCAAAAGATGGTGCAGTATTTTATTAATAACAAGCTATGCAGCTTTATACTGTAATTGCTGCCTCTGAGGCCAGAGGCAGTAAAGGAGGGCACTGCTGATCTCCGTGCTGCGCCTTCCCCTGGAGTCCATGGTGTACTTTGGACTTAAGCAGTGGGCTCAAAATAGGAAAAGCACCTTCTAAAGAGAAATTTGTTGGCCTTGAGTAGGAGGGCCTTCCAGTCACTGAGCTGAAGGGAGAGGGAAAGCAAGACTGCATCTTGACAGTGTGTCAAGGCCAAAAGTCTTTGTCAAAATTTTTCATGTGTAGGCTGACCATCTTGCAGAGCAAAGTCTTATAAATCTTTTCTTGATGTGCAGGAAGGAAAAATGCAGAAATGTGTCTCCTTGGAGCTTGCGACTATACAGTAAAAAGGGCAGCAAAAGGGCAGCCTTTACAGGGTGGCTACTTGCATTGAGGAAGCTTTGCTGGGGGTTTCCCTCTCCTGGTCAGAAGATAGCTTTAAGGAGGCAGAACTTTGTGTATTGAATTTAGAGTGAGTAATACTCCGAGACTGTGTGCTCAGTGGGAGACTATTAGAGTCTTTTGTGTTAACATTTACTTTGAAAAGAGTTTGCACAAAGACAACTCATAGTTTGTTAGCTGCAGAAGATAGTTAGCAACAGAGCTGTAAGCACTGAGGCAGAAATTTAGGGTGTTTTTTTAAAGGCATCAGCTGTGAATTCCCAGCCTCAGGGTGAGTCATTTAGACCAGATGCAGCATTTCAAGGAAACATTTCTAGTGACTTGACTAAAGAGTTGGAAGAGGCCCAACTGCAATGCATTCATATGTATCCCATGGGTCAGGTGTAAGAAGCTGTTTTAGGGGCCTCCTGGGCCAGACGGTATTTGTAGATGATGCAGAGACAAAAGCCAAAGGAGGTGGAGTTGCCCATATAGAGGGAAGCTCATCCAGAAAAATAGAAGCTGCAGGGATGTCAGCACCCAACAACCAGAGCAGCATGTGTGAAGAGTTATCCAGGCACCTGCTGCTCTGAGCAGAAGTCAACAGCTGAAAAGAATTGAGATTTGGTGAAAATATGACCCATGAAAAATACTTATGAGTCGGTAGGGGAAGGAAATGTACTGCCTGAATAACTGGGAGCTACAAATGACTGGCTGATGCAGATTTCAAAATAAATTAATCTCCCATCAACTTTGGGGGTGTGTAAACTCAGTGGATTACATTTTGTGATTCATATTTTTATTGCTCTTGTACTGAGATTTGCCTTCATCTAGGGACCCTGAAGGTGTTCAGGGCTACTGAAGCGAGTAAATGTGCTCTGGAGCAGAACTGAACCCCTCCACAGAAAGCTGGCAGGAAGGGATGTGGCTCCAGGGAGTTCTTTAGGCTTCAGGTGCTTCTAGAATGAGTATGGAGTGACAAAGATTAATTGCCACCCCATGACAGCTCTAAACTAGGTCATTGTGTAATAGTATGTCTAAATGAACCTGTTGGAGTATTTGAAACTACAGCTCTGCCATTAGGTCTTCTCCTTGTCAGGATGCTGCCTCATGTGGCATTAAAAATTGAGCCCTAGGTAAGAACAAAAATGTGATTGACATTACCAGATTCTAAGGACAACAGCCAAACATTTCACAGCACGGCATGGCAAAGAATTGTGAAACATCCTACTTTATCTAAGTATTAGGGAAATATTCACAGAGGACAAAGAATAGAAGCCGTTGCTCTAATAAAACCCATTTATCTTAAATTTTTAAATCTGAGTATGCATTGGGGTGTAGTATTGAGTGATGTACCATAATTTGTCTTTTTTTTTTTTTTTTTTTCTTGCCATAGTGGTTATCTGTGAGGTACTGGGTGGCGGAAAATGGCCTGACCATATCCACATCATCTTGAACTTCCTATATTGGAACTATTTAAAAAAACCCTACTCAGCCACTTCACCAACAACTGAGTCAAAGCTTTGCAATTACTATAAGAAAGGTAATTCAAAATAGCAGCAAACTTTCCTGCAGTCAGGAGGTGAATGTGTTATTGTTTTTGACTGGGACTCTGCATCATCTAGTTACATTGACATTGACAAATTAAGACAGAGCACAAACTACCACAAGGTCTGCAGAGTACCTTTCATATTCATGCATATACCAGAGATATTTCAGAGGATGAGAAATTATTTAATATAAGAGATGAAAACTGAACACATTCAGGAAGACCCATAGGAGGAAGACCCAGACCAAGCCAAAAGGTCTCTGAAGATGTTTTAGAAGATTAGTTAAGACTTACCTCTCAGGGGATGCTACTGAATTCTGCACTGAAACCTTGAAAAGACAAATTGCATAGGATGGATGGGCCTGGCTGATAGAACAAAATTTTTGTCTCACTGATAATCCAGAATCAAGAATTCAGGCATTCTCACACCAGAGCCTGTGAGGACTGGTGAGCTTCCTTCAACCACAGAAATCACAACAATGATCAAACTGATAATGCTTTCAAATTCTTGCTGAACAAAATAGGGAAAAGTTGCAGAGAGCACCTGGCTGTGATGCTGTATGTTTGTCTCTGTGGGAAATTGCTGTGTTTATATTACATCACACTTTTTGAATTTGATGGGTAAGAAGAGAAAAATGGAAGTTGTGCCAGAGCTTTTACTCAGAGTGCTTCTCTAAGTCTTAAACTTCTATGTGTGAATGATAAAATACCTTGGAAGAAGAAAGCTTCACACAGATAAAACCATGCCTACAACAAGGTGTTCATCCTAAGGTATTTGCTTTATTTCACATCTGATCTCAGCTGAGTGAAAAGAATACCAACAGAAATTTCACAGTACCCCACCCAAACTTTCTTCAAGAAAATCAGTTCTGTAAACTACAGAATAATCCCTGTGTCCGCAGGGATTATACTTTTTGATCATATAACTGCACAGATTGAAAAGAAGAAAATAAGTTCAGACTAAAAATTGACACTGCTGCATAAATAAAAACAGACACAACTTGTTTAGTGGGAGTAAGCAGAACATCTGGCCTCCAGTCCTCTAGCTGCTTGGCTGAACATTTTGGGAGCACTAAGGAGCTACTACTGCCTAGGAGGAAGGGAGTGCCCAGCATTAGTCACCAGAAATCAGGTCTGAATCATCACATGGAATCCTGATTCAGCAAGTTAAACATTGGTGTGAAACAGGAGATGGGTCCTCAGCATTCCTCCCTGAAGCAGACAACTGCTGGGAAAAGCAGGTGGACACCAGTGACATGACTGGAGATCCAGGAGGACCTGTGACTGAGACAGGCCACCCGGCTCTTCAAGGGCTTGGACCCAGGCATGAGATATTGGTGTGGTAGGGGGAGGATATCCTGTCTCTGGGAAGGTCAGTGACAACAAAAGGTGTATGGGGTGGTGCCGGGAGCCCACAGCCATGTTCAGAGTTTGCCTTCCACCACATATTTTTGCTCCTCCTGAGCAGACGATATAAAAGCTCACACTTAGGCCTTCTGCACCCGAGAGCAACTGCCCACAATTACGCAAAGCAAATGTGTGTTTGGAGAATGCCACATCAGCAGTCCTCCTAGGGTGTGCAGAGGATTTGAGCCAGCTCTGTATGATGTTTACATAAGAGGATTTGATCTAGGCTTCCTAGTGTGATTCACAGGGCTCTGCCCTGCTGGAGTAGCTAAAAGTTAATTCCTCTTGCTTCTGTACTTGGCCCTGGTACTCTGCTTTTTATGGCAACTGCATCGGTAACAGCAATATTGCAGCAGTCATTGCAGTCCAATTTTAACACAGATATTTTTAATTGGCATTTTTTTTTCTTCACATATTTTCCCAACTGTGTCTTCTGTGCTTACAAATTTATACTTCGACTCCAAATCCTGCTTCCTTTATTTAGATGAAAACCAGAACACTAACATTTAGAAATACAAAGTTGCCAGCACTGTTTAAACATCCTTCTTTAAATATGTAGGTTTGCAAAAATGAAACTGGTGCCTCTGTATTTTGATGAGCTAAAAATGACACTGGTTTCAAAGATATGAAGCATGAAAAGAAATGAAAGGTTAAACTATAAATAACTTAATTTTCACTTGTCCTCCAGAAACTTACACAGCTTCCTATGCATGTTGCCACTAAGATACCAACTCATTTATCAATGCCCAGGTGTTTTCCTGTTTAAACAGAAGGCCAAGTAATTATTGACAGTTGTGTCTATAAAAGCGAATAGAACAGTACAGAGGTGCTTCTGACACTAATGGAACCAGCCTTAAACTGCTACATGCAGACACAGAGCTTTTTCATCTTGGAGCAGGGTACTGTGTCTTTATTATCTTTGAGCAAAGTTTGACAGCCTGCTCAGTCATTAGATCAATATGCTAGTGAAATGTAGTAAAAGGTGTGGGAAATTCGAAGAACATCACTGTAGCACTAGATTTTGTTGGTTTTTTATTAGGGATAATAGTTTCAAAAATATGCTTCCTCATGTACCTTTTCTTATCAATTTGTATGTTTTCTATTCAAACCATTGGTGTTCTTTCTTCCTGCTTTTCGATCAGGGTAACCATTCTGTATCTCAGTTTTCTGGCTTTAAAAAGATCACAAGACTCACAAACCAGACAAGAATCTAACAAAGATTCACCTACAAAAATTCTTAAGTGTTTTGCTTTCCCCATACTTTAGGAGCAATGTGCAGGTAAACTAGAAGGCATTAGAAATAACCATGTTTTGAGCGGGATTGAGAGTTAAATACCTGGAAGTTCAGGATATGGCCAGCCCTTATTTGGCTCAGGCTTGATAATGATACTGAATGATCTTTGCTTTCTACGTGGCATGACTTCTGCTGTGCAACTTTTTCATTCAGGGTTATGGTTAAAATATAGGTTATTGCAGCTAATTTATCTTGGTTTGCTCTTCTTCTTCTTGCAGATTTATTTATTTCAATTTTAAGTGTGGTGTGGCTTTCTGGCTACATCCAACACCAGCAGATGTTGCTTAGGCAAGAGGTTTTACTCTCCAGATCCATCTGTCAGGTTCTCTGGGGATGCTTCTCTTACTAGTATTTCCAGGAAAGCAGGCTAATGACTGGCTCCACAATCCCCAGCCAGGAAGTCCCTTGGCTGCTTTTCATCTAGCCCCTTTCTTCTGACACATCCAGTTTTGGTGGGCTATAAGGAGACAAGCCTCCTCTGGAAGATCTACTGAGTTTACTTGATACACTCATGCAACCACACAGTGTCAAAGTACAATAAGAAGCAAAGGAATGTTGGCAAGAGAACATAATGTATAAGCTATGATTAAGACATTAACAGAACCATTATTTATTACTCAATTTTTTATCACAGCAACCAAGATCAAAGGTTTTGTCTTTTATTCCCCTAGGAAAACCTTATCTGGATCAAGTTGAGTCATACTATTCAGTTTTTTGTGCAGAACTCTCTCCTACACGGGCTTTTCATGAACTTGCAAATGTACTTTCTTCAACTCAGCCCCCTATGACCATCTCCTCTCCATTCGCCACCTAAATAATTTACGCACAAGTAAGTCTGGATTTTATTGCTTACTGTTTCACTTGGAGCCACAAGAAACCCATTTGTCTTTGAAAAGCTTAATTTCATTTCAAATAATTTTAAATATGTCAGTTTAGAGCTGCTCTGGTTTTAAATTTTTTCCCTTTGGTTTCAATATAATGCCATTTTTACATTTTACTTGAACAATCAAAAAGGATTATGTACTATGAAATTATATACTAAGAGTGTCGTTGTGACAGGAAGAGTTTGTTACCACTGCAGTGACTAGCAATTCACTCTGTGTCTGTGTACAACTGCTGCAATAGCCATTGTGGGAACTGGCTACTGCAGCTAAGCAAAAGTGCCCATGCACGGTGTGCATGCAGTTGCTTATGGTCTGAGCCAGCTGGATGTTATCTAGACTGGTCTGGATATCAGGTAGCTGCACTAACCAAGAGCTCACAGCTGTGTTGATAAGTCCGGCAGAGAGAACAGTTATGGTAAACGCACACACAGTGTCACACTGTCACGGTTTCAGTTTTCATATCAGAGCTCGCGTGCAGCCTGGTAGCTTAAAGTATAAGAGCAGGCAAGCAGCTCTCACAGCCATCCATACAGATATAATCCCTGAGGTATGCATGAGGTCTTTTAATATTCCAGAGAGAATGTCCGTTCCAAAATGCTCTGTTTTCTCTGGGTTCTCAGTTCTCTCTGTTAGATGAAATTCCACCTCCACCCTGTTGAGTGCCCAGACGTCTATGCCTCAGTTTGGACAGGCAAGGCTGACAGCTCCTGTGTTGCTTAATGGGAAAGCAGCACCTGGAAGAAGAGCAGCAGGTTCTTATTAAAAATACTTTTCTTTAAAAAAAATGAACTAGTTATGTGGGAGCCTCAACTTAGGCTTCCTTGGCACTCCAACCAACCACAGCTCCTCATTCAAGGCAGCACTGTCTTTTGAATCTTTTTGTACTCTGTTGTATAACAAAAGACTGGGGTGTCTCATAATTTCATTTTATGCAGACTGGGATTTGATAGACACTATATAAAATTTTGCAGGAGACTAAAACATGCTAGCCCTGTTAGGATGAGGTGGCGCTGGGAACTGCAGCAAATTCCTGGCTATATCCCATTTGCTCAGCCCCATGCTGTTACTCAAGTGTCATGCAGGGAGCTGTGTTGGTCCTGTCCTGCTCAGGTGGTGCCACTTCTCTCTTTTCTGCCCCCTCCCTTTTTTTTTTTTTCTGGCCTGCCTGGTGTCTCTTCTGAAGGGTGAAAGGGAAGAGACAACACCCATGAGCTCTACATCTCATCTTCTCAGACCTCACTAC